ATGGAAAAAAGATATTTATAAGACCAATCATGTGTAAGGGAACAAAACAACTAGGAATTAAACAACTAAATGAAAAATACTACAAACTAAACAGTTAAATATGCTGTTGGATAACACTATTGAATAGACTGCCTAAAAAGCAAATAAATCTATCTGGAAAAAAAATGCAACCAGAATGCTCCTTAGAAGCAAGGGTGGTGAAACTTCATCTCATACTGGGCATATTTTCTGAAGAGCCAGTTCTTGTTGAGAGATATGGTGGGGAAGGTAGAGGACATTCAAAAAAAGATACTTGAATATTGATTGTGTTAACAGAACTTCCTAGAGTACTTCCTGGATAGCATCCTAACGCTCACAGCACTGTACTCTACAACAGGTGTCATAGTTGGCTCAACAGTAATAACAACAACACAATGAAAATATCACATATAACAACTCAGAATATTCAGTGCAATCTGTACTTTTTTCATCCTTAAACATAATAGTTAGAAGAAATATACTTTAAAACTCTTAATTAGATAGGTGTCTTGCCTAAGAAATAATAATAAAAGAAACAAATTCATAAATCCAAAGAATATACAAAGAAGGCAATGTCAGCAAATAAGAACAGAGAAAGGCTTATAGCAAATGTAAAAATGCTGGCTCTTTGCAAAGCTAAGTAACAGATCGGGGTGAGGGGAATAGAAACTTCCAGTAAGCCAGAACACAAAAAAAGGTCAAGAGAAACAGCATGGTTATAAATAGAAAATAAATTTTCAAAAGCAAAAGAAAATTTCTATTAACAACTTCTTGCCAATAAATTTGAAATTTTAAACAAAAATGGATAACTTCTTAAGAGTATAAATCTTACAAAGTATGTAAGATCAAATAGCTCTTAAAACATATTTTAAAAACCTATCTTGAGGGAGCTCTGGTGGCCTGATGGCAAGAAGATGCACTGCAATCCCAGAGGTACATGGTTCAAATCCTCCAGATGCTCTGCTGGAGAAGGAGGGACAATCTCCTCCTGTACCAGTCAGATCTGAAAATAATGAAATTAAATGAAATGAAAAAAATTTTTTAAAAAACTCAAACCTGTCTTGAATTATATTCTATGATAAAGATAAAATAAATTAATAGTTTCAAAATTAAGACAGTAATCAGTAACTGAATAAATTCAATTCATATATACAAATGGCCCTTCAGTGAAGTTCTTATAAATCTTCTTTGTTGTTGTTATGTGCCGTCGAGTAGCTTGCGACTCACAGCGACCCTATGTACAGCAGCCCTAAACTCTGCTCTGTCCTGTGCCAATCGCACTGTCTCTGACACTCCTATCCCAATTATCCCAGTCACTGAATCAATCCACCTCATAGAGGGCCTTCCCCTCCTGCAATGTCCCTCCACCCTCCCAAGCATGATGTCCC